TCAATTAAAAACGTTCGGTGTCGTCTCTCGCTCTCTCTCTCTCTCTCTCTCTCTCTCTCTCTCTCTCTCTCTCTCTCTCTCTCTCTGTTTGTCTCTCTCTCTCTCTCTCTTTCTTTGTCCTTCTTTCAAATAAAATTTTCAATCTGACAATTAGTCAATTAAACAATTAAAATCAAGTTTATAATCGTACGAAATATTCAATTAGAAATGCTCGATGTTTCCACTCTGTCTGTCTCTCTCTCTCTCTTTCTCTCTCTCTCTCTCTCTTTGTCTCTGTCTCTGTCCGTTTTTTTTTTAAAAATACAATTGAATTTTAGGAATGACAATTCGTAAATGCGGCCAAGAGTTACGAGCTCATAAATAGCAAAGTCGTTATCGTTCGCGTTCGGATCTTTCTATTTCGGTGCATCGCGTGTCGTAACAAAGCGCGAAACATTAGGTGACATTAGAAAAAGAGATAATCTTCTTCACGGTATCGTCAACTTTGCGTCATTCTTTTTTTCTTTTTTATTCTTTTTTATCTTTTAGGAAGGCCGTTCGAGAAGAAAGATGACGAATTAGATCCACATTTTCACGTTTTACGCGTACAACTATATATATATATACATACACGTTCAACGTCTGAATTCTTTAACAATATTATCGAAAAGTTTTAATTCCAGTTTATATATAATTAAAAGAAAAAAAAAAAAAAAAAAAAAAAAAAAAAAAGAAAGAAAAAATAAATAAATAAATAAAACGATCTATCCTCATATCTCCAGCCCTTCGCAAGAAAAAAAATAAAAAAAAAAGAAAAATAAGAAAGAAATTTTATTCGTTTGAATAAATATACCGCGAATATAATTTCGTAGCAATAAGAACGAGGCGAGAGACGACGTTGATTATATCTTCGATAATTCAAGGTAATTTCGATGACCATTACATATAATTACTGTACTACGATTCACGTTACGTCGGCCATAATCATCCTACAAATTTAATCGAGAGAAAGAAAGAGAGAGAGAGAGAGAGAGAGAGAGAGAGAGAGAGAGAGAGAGAGAGAGAAAGATAAGAAGAAAAAAGAAATAAAATAAAATATATAAACTGTTAAAATTAAAAGAAAAAAAAAGAAGAAGAAGAAGAAGAAGAGACGTTTATCTCTTCATCTTCTCTGAACGAGAATAATAATAAAAAACAAAACAAAAAAAAGAAAAAAAAAAAGAAAAGGAAAGGAAAGAAAAAAAATCCGGTAACGCGTCTATCGATTTGATTTCGATCTCTTTAAAAACTCCAAGGTCTCCGTCGGATCGGTTTATCGGATGTAGACAAAAAAAAAAAAGGAAATAAAAAAGAAAAGATCGAACCAAAAAAAAAAAAAAAAAAAGAAAAAAAATAAAAAAGGAGGAAGAAGAAAAAGGAAAATTAAACAATTAATCACGTGATACTCATCGTAAATACATCGCGCATAGTTGTTATATCCTCTTACTTTTCCTCCATATCTCGATGCACATATTATTTCGTCGTTATGTATCAATGTATGCAAGTTATACATTTAAGTACATATAAATATGTATCGACGAACAACACGTACTT